GATTCCATGAAGATAGATTCTAGGGTCTTCAAACTGTGAACCCCAGACCAGTGACATCAGAAACATCTGAAAATTGTTAAAGATGCAGTCTCTGCTGCCTCCCAGACCTACTCAACCATTAACACTGGTGATTAACAAGTTCCCCCAGGTGATTCTGATGCCCACTAAAGAATGAAAACCCTTTGAATCATGGGTAGAGTTGTAAATGGGAAGTGAGGGATGACAGCCAGAATGTGTGGATAATGTGTAAGACCCTAAAACCCATTTACTTTCAAGGGAATCTGGTGCATAAACACATTTATAGAAATTGTATGAAAATCTTGTGTTGTTATCTGCCATGGAGTCAGCCTCTACATATCTGTATTTTTTCCTTTGAATCAAATAAAGTCTTGTGGAGTATTAATTTGGTTAATGAAAGGCTTAAAATCACATTGTTAAAATGACTACATTGGGCAATGCTCTGAGATACTGTTGAAGAAATAGTGATAGTGCAACATTAGAGGAGAGATCAAATATATTACAAGATCAAAATGAATCTCTAAGATGACCTCAAAAAAGAGCAAAGAACAATGAAGCAAGAGCACAATTAGAAATGAGATGTATGAGATGTCTCAGGTCTAATTAAAACGAATGCACCCAGTCCCTAAACTGCATAAAAGTGGACACACATAAAACAGAAAAATGAGCATTAAAACTGTAAGCACTGCATTAAGTTCACATACTGGTCTCAATCAGCTCATAACATTGGATAAAAATTTCATTTTCAGAAGAATGTCCAATTTTCTAGTAAAAAATTCCTAATATTTGTAGGCTATACGTATGCACAGGGACAACAGCATAGCCATCTAAATTCAAACATTGGTCTCATTAAGTGTTGGATCTTAGAATACATTTGATTATATGTAAAATGCACTTTATCAGTAAATACCTAGAATCATTAACAATTTAATTAAAACTACTAAGACAGGCTAGTAGTTAAAAAACCCTTTCAGGGATGACATCAAGAACATCATACATAAGGGAAGCAAAAAGTCATTGAGAAGACACGGCACAACGTTGTCTGTTATAGGATAATATCCGTGTGCCTATAGGGAAGCCCAGTTAATACCACTATTATTCAAATTTACGCACCAACCACTAAAGCCAGTGAGGATGAAATAGAAGAATTCTATCAACTTCTTCAATCTGAAATCGATCAAACATGCAATCAAGATGTGTTGATCATTACTGATGATTGGAATGCAAAGGTTGGGAGCAAAGAGGAAAGATCAGTAGTTGGAAAATATGGCTTTGGTGATAGAAATGATGTGGAGAATGCATGATAGAATTCTGCAAAACCAATGATTTGTTCATTTCAAATACCTTCTTTAGACAGCATAAGAGATGACTATACACATGGCCCTCACAAGATGGAATACACAGAAATCAAATTGACTACATCTGTGGAAAGAGAAGATGGAAAAGCTCCATATCATTAGTCAAAACAAGGCCAGGGGCAGACTGTGAAACAGGCCATCAATTACGCATATGCAAACTCAAACTGAAGCTGAAGAAAATGAAAATAAGTCCATGAGAGCCAAAATATGACCTTGAATTTAGAGACCATCTGAAGAATAGATTTGATACATTAAACACTAAAAACCAAAGACCAGAAGAGTTGTGGGATGACATCAAGATCATCATACATGAAGAAAGCATAAAGTCATTGAGAAGACAAGAAAGAAGGTAAAGGTCAAAATGGATGTCAGATGAGACACCGAAACTTGCTCTCCAGCGTAGAGATGCTAAAGCAAATGGAAGACATGAGGAGGTCCAAGAGCTGCACAGAAAATTTCAAAGCTCAGCTCGAGAAGATAAAGACAAATATTACAATAAAATATGCAAAGATTTGGAATTAGAAAACCAAAAAGGAAGAACATGGTCAGCATTTCTCAAGCTGGGGGAACTGAAGAAAAAATTCAAGCCTCGACTTTCGTTATTGAAAGATTCTCTAGGTAAATTATTGAATGATGCAGAAAGCATCAAGAGACGATGGAAGGAATACACAGAGTCAGTGTACCAAAAGGAAATGGTTAATGTTCAACCGTTTCAAGAGGTAGCATATGATCAAGAGCCAATGATACTCAGAGAGGAAGTCCAAGGTGCTTTGAAAGAATTGGCAAAGAACAAGGCACCAGGAATTGATGGAATAAAAATTGAAATCTTTCAAGAAAGTGAGGCAGTACAGGAGGCACTCATTCATCTCTGCCAAGAAATTTGGAAGACAACTGTCTGGCCGACTGATTGGAAGAGATCAATGTTTATGCCCATTCCAAAGAGAGGTGACCCAACAGAATGCGGAAATCATCGGACAATCTCTTTGACATCTCAAGCGAGCAAAGTTTTGCTAAAGGTAATACAGAAACGGCTACAATCATACATTGACAGAGAACTTCCAGAGGTTCAAGCTGGATTCAGAAGAGGCCGGGGAACGAGAGATATCATTACTGATGTCCGATGGATCTTGGCTGAAAGCAGAGAATATCAGAAGGATGTTTACCTGTGCTTTATTGACTACGCAAAGGCTTTCAATTGTGTGGATCATGACAAGCTATGGACAACATTGAGAAGTATGAGTATTCCAGAACACTTAATTGTACTTCTGAGAAATCTGTACCTGGACCAAGAAGCAGTTGTTCGAACAGAACATGCGAACGCTGAATGTTTTAAAATTGGGAAAGGTGTGAGACAGGGTTGTATTCTTTCACCATACTTACTCAACCTGTATGCTGAGCAAATAATACGAGAAGCTGGGTTCTATGAAGAAAAACACGGCATCAGGATTGGAGGAAGACTCATTAACAACCTGCGATATGCAGATGATACAACCTTGATCGCTGAAAGTGAAGAGGACTTGAAACATTTACTTATGAAGATTAAAGAGCACAACCTTCGATATGGATTACATCTCAATGTCAAGAAAACAAAAATCCTCACCACTGGACCAATAAACAACACTATGCTATGTAGTAGCTCAAAATACCAACTGACAGGGAAGTAGTATTCATCCTACCCTTTCTGTATGCAGGGGTGATAGGGATGGGCAACTTAGACATTGGCTACCTAAAATGGGGTGGGGGGGGAGGCGTGGGTTGAAAAGGCACAAAGCGACTGGCTTACATATTTTCAAGAGGGAGTTTAGTTTCAGAGTGTGTGGGAGAAGGTAGAATCCCCAATGAATTATTTTCATTTTGTCTAGACAGGTCTGGTGAAAGGAGATGGGGATAAGATTCAATAGTGAGTAGTTGTTATCATGACTAATTACAACTGTCACAACTGTAAAGGTAGAAGTTTTGTAACATAAAGGGGGGAGTAGCTAATATTACAGTCCAGGAACAGAGGACCCTAGGACCATCAAAGGAGAAGAGCATGTGCTTCTCCTATCCAGAGAAGCAGCAACACCAGAGATGGAGGCAAAGATGAAGACATGGAGAGATAGAGCAGCTGAGGACTCTAGACTCATGGAAAGAGAAAGACTGAGTGTTGGTTACCAGGAGGCAGACTTGCAGAATGTGTCCTTTGGCTGCTTAAATGATTATATTTTCCTGAGTGTTTTTGTGTATACCCTCCCCCCAAAAGAAAAGAAAAACAGAGGGAATAGAAGTAAATACTGTTGAATAATGATGCACGGAGGGGATTGTAATCATTGCAATGAAATGATGATTGTAAAACTGATGTTCTCCCAGTAAACTATCACTCAATTCACAATAAAAACTTAAAAAACAAAATCTGGATGCAAAAGAATTATCAAACAGTTTTTAGCAAATATTTGATAACTTATCAAAGTAATATGCTTAATCTTTAAAGTCAAGTAGCATAAGATTGTTTCAAACTTAAAACAATGCTCCTTTCCAAATTTAACTCTTGATTTCTCTTATGCCACATAATATACTACATTAGCATTTTGGTTTTGGTATATTGTTGGAGATTTCGTCTAGCTGATAATTGCTGTGACTAAATCAGTCTCACACTTTCTGATAGAAATTGTTAAAATTTCTCTCAATACTATGAAGCAAATCAAGCACTTGACATTTTAATTTCTTTTGACTTCTTTTTCTTTTGAGACATACTTACTGACGTTAAGCCTCCAGCTCTATTCCAGACTGTCTCTTATCCATAATAAATTCAGATTTCAACCTAAAAATTTCTATTGGCAAGAATCCTTGTGGCAGAGGGCAACTAGGTGGTCCTAAACTATTTCCTCTTCCAAGGGACACAGCTAAACAAACCTCCCCATTTCCTTTGCATTACATTGGGGTGTGGGAGGATAGCTCACGGATGAAAACTGAGCATAAATGAGTAGTGCCACTTCCCATCCAAGGTTTTTAAGAATAAGTGTGCTTTATCCATTCTCTTTTTCATTCTATACTGTCCTCGTAGAGTTGGTATTCAGGATGATGGTATTACAAGATGGAAAAAGCCTGGATCCATGAAAGACTGTGGGCAAGATTCCTCTCTCTATGACATACACATGAATTATGATATCTCCACATGAATTATGATATCTCAGTGAGAAAGAAATCTTTGTTTTGATAATCCACCTATATGTTGAAGTATATTTATTGCTACGAGTGATACTTAACTATTACATTGATCATACAGAACTGTGATTGTGATGTCTTGAATTTACTTAAAATGGCTTTTCTATCCAAAATCTTCTTATTTCTCACTAAGTGATTGAGTGAGACCATGCAAATAATGTATACAGGACTCCTAGGCTCCTAGTTTTGCCATCCAACTAGGTTTTTTTTTTTGTTTTTTTTTTCACAAATAAGATTTTTTATTTGTCACCATTAAAAGTCTGAATTTTAAACAGATTCTTGAACCGGTGGCTCATAGCCATCAGCTCGTTCAGCTTTAGCACCTGTCTCATCTCCAGTAGCTTTTCCAGAACTACTGCCTTCATCATGAAGCTCCATGAGTTTTCCCAACTCAAACTTAGGCTTCTTCAGCATTTTTACTTTCCTAACAAACACGTCATGGAGAGGGTAAATAGACTGGCACGCCTTCTCTATGTCCTTTCCAATGCTGTCTGGAATCAGTTTATTGACCACTTCTTTCAAGTCATTTGTCTGCACCTCTCGGGTCATGATTTCCATCATTTTCTTCCGGATTTGACGGACCTGTTGGTGCTGAGCATAAGATGTCTTCCGAATCTGGTTGTTGTGTTTTTTAGTAAAACCAACACGGAACAAGCGGAGCAAATAACCATCTGTAGTCTTGACATCAACGTGAGCGTCAATCATGGTCTGCCATTTTTTGACCATGGAGCACATTTTGTCACGGGTAAGATCCATGCCATGGAAGTTGGTCAGGCAGTTTTTGCCCTGAACATCCCCAGTAATTAGCTTGAATTTTCTAAATGCAACTTCATCGTTCTGCAGATCAGCAAGACTCACTTCAAAAGCACGACCCTTAAGCCCATCAGATGTAATTTTCGTTCCTTGAGTCCTTGTGACTAGTGTTTTCCCAATATTTCTTATATTGAACATAGCTGGTGCCTTTACATCATACCAATCTTTCTTAGAAAATGGATCAACCACCTTCTTCTTGGCTCCTTTTTGCCACCTTTTGTAAGGCTCTTGTTCTTGCTGACTGACCGCCATGGTGGTGCTCAGAGAGCCAAAAGGGGCCCAACTAGGTTTTAAAGAAGCCATCTTCAGAAGCAAGAACGGATGATCCCAGGATCATCACGAAGGAAGAGCATGAGTGGTAAATCAAAGAGCCCAGAATTTTTCAGGGAATTGTTAGAGATACAGAATCACTACCTTCAGAAGTATATAGCCCCATATGGAGGCTGTCTCAACACCTAATAGCTTCACATTTTGACATTTTTTATAAAGGGTTCCATGATTTTGTAGCAATAATCATTAAATTGTAAGACTGTATTAAGGTTGAAAAAAAGGTTCATTTGTTTTCCATTTTTTTCATAGACTATTTAATAAATACACAAAATTCATATATCTCTTTATGATGAACATTTAGATTTTTCAATATATTTTCAAAATATATTTATTTATAGGGATTTTTATTAAAAAATAATACCATGGTAAACATCTTTACATATATTCTACATCTTTGAATGTGTATCCTTTACCTAGAGAAGCACAGCAAATATCTTTCTTATGCTTTTATTTTTATTTTTAATTGGGTGACTTCATTCACTTAAGCCTCGAAACATTATCTTTAAATTTGGATTAATTTGATCTTTTTGTTTGGCATTGATTTAGTTATCTGTGCTGCTATGAACGCAAACACCACAAGTGGATGGCTTTCACAAACAGAGGTTTATGGTCTCATAGTTTAGGAGACCTGAAGTTCGAGTTCAGAGGACCTACCCTTGGGGAAAGGAGCTCTGGTAGCATAGTGGTTACGAATTGGGCTGCTAATCTCATGGTCAGAAGTTTGAAACTACCAGCTGTTCCGTGGGAGAAAGATGAGGCTTTCTGCTCCTGTAAAGATTTACAGCCTTGGAAACCCTTTGCAGAGTTGCTATGAGTCAGAACCGACTCCAACCGATAACAACAACAACAACATCCTTTGGGAAGGCTTTTACTCTCTATTGGCTCTGGGGGAAGTTCCTTGATTCTTTCAATATCTGTGGGTCCAGTATTTCTTGGAGATCTCCATGTGCCTTGTCATCAGTCTTCCCCTGGGCTAAAGAGGTTCCCAGTGTGAAAGATATACTCCACTTCTATTTCTTCTTTTTTGGTGATAGGCTTCAATGATCTTTGTTTGCTTCTCTCTTAAAGGTGATATAGGCTACATCCCAGGGAAAATCCTCTCACATTCTTACATTAATCATGACTGTAACCTTAGTAAGGGTGCTGCATCCCACCCCTTACCTATGGCTGGCTGATCAAATTAGAGCACATAATGGAAGATGATTATATAAATACCATATTATATCAATGACAAACCACCAAACATTATGGCTTTAGCAAAGGTGACACATACCAAGGAGGCCTCAAAAAGTTCATGGGAAATGTAATTAAAAGATAATGGACTTTCATCCATTTGACCTAGTCTCGACTGCTTGATGATCAGAACTCAATGGGAAGAAGATAAAAAAAAAATTTTTTTGACAAAGGAAACAAATGTAAATTGCTGCAGTTTGATGAACTTGACCTATATTTATGGATGTAGTAGCTCCAAATACCAACTGAGAGGGAAGGAATCTTCACATCAAGTACCAATCCTATTCCCTCTGTCTACAGGGTTGATAGGGACAGGCAACTTAGACACTGGTTACCTAAAATGGGGTGGGGGGACTATAAAGGCATGAAGAGATTGACTTACAAGTTTTCAAGAGGGAGTTTAGTTTCAGAGTGTGTGCAGGGGAAGGTAAAACCCCCACTGAATAGTTTTAACCTTGTCTAAAGGAGTCCTGTGGGCTAATGTATCAGACTGGGTACAAAGTCATTTAAACTATAAGGTTGGTGGTTCAAGCTCACCAGCTGCTCTTTGGAAACCCTATACAGGGTCACTATGGGTTGGAATTGACTCAACAGCATTTACAACAACAACAAAGACAGGTCTGGTGAAAGGAGATGGGGATAAGATTCTTATGATTCAGTAGTGAATAATTGTTATTATGACTAATTGCGACTGTCACAACTATAAAGGTAGAAGTTTTGTAACAAAAATGGGTCAGTAGTTAATCTTACAATCCAAGAACAGAGGACCCTGGGACCATCAAGGGAGAAGAGCATGAGCAGAAGGTGGGACCCTATCCAAAGAAACAATGACATCAGAGATAGAGAAAGAGATGAGGAAGGACATGGAGAGCTAGTGCAGCTGAGGAATCTAGACTCATGGAAAGAGAAAGGCTGTGTGCTGGCAGCCAGGAGGTACAGTTGCAGAATGTGCCCTTTGGTTGTTTAAATTATTATATACTCCTGAGTGTTTTTGTGATGTAACAACAACAACAACAAAAACCCCACAACAATACCAAAACAAAAAACTCAGAAGGAATAGAAGCAAATACTGCTGAATGATGATGCACCGAGGAGATTGTAATCATTGCAATGAAATGATGAGTATAAAACCGATGTTCTCCCATGCAAACTATTACTCAATTCAATAAAACCTTTAAAAAAAAAAAAAAAAAAAAGATAATGGACTCTTTCCATGAAGTATTTGAAGTCCCCTAGCACTAGACTATTAATTGCAAGGTCTTTGATTCAAACCCACAAGCTGCTCTTTTGAAACCTGATACAGGGTTGGAACAGACTCATTGGCACTTAACAACAACAATATTTTATGGGGACACAATTCAATTCATAGCAATAGTTAAGTCAAAGTATCCATATAAAGTCTATATATGTTATTTTTCCCAACTCATTGCACTCCTGTATAGAGTTTCCAAGGAGCAGCTGGTGAATTTGAACTGCTGCTCTTGTGGTTCTAACTGACCTTGCGGTCAAGTGCTTATTCTACAGCATAACATCTGGACTCCAACATAAAAAGTATGTGCATTTTTAAATAAAAATCTACTTAATATATTAAGACGTCTTTAGTTTTTATGATACCTTTTCTCATGTAACAATTGATGTTTCATATAGTTGAATTTACTAATATTATCATCCATTTATCTGTTTCCAAGGTCATTTACTAATTTTGCATATCACTATCTGAAAAGTTTACTGGCTTGTCTTTATCATTTACATTTCTAATCCATCTGTTAGTAATTTTCATACTGTATAAGAAAATCTAGTATTTCATAGATAGACAGTTGTCTTAGCATAATTAACAGAACACTCCAGCTTTTTTTTCAATGACCTACAATGACCCTCTTTTATTTTTGAAGCCCCACAAGAAATTTGGGGACTGTGGTGGCTCCATATGATAAGCACTGGACTGTGAACCACAAAGTCAGTAGTTCAAGCCCACCAGTCACTCCATAGGAGAAACATGAGATTTTATGCTCCTGCAAAGATTTACAGCCTCAGAAACCCTACACAAGGTTATTATGAGTCAGAACCAACTTGAGATCACTTAACAACAACAAATAAGAAATATTGGAAGGCAGTTGCCTGGCCAACCGATTTGAAGAGATCCGTATCTGTTTAACCCATTTCAAAGAAAGGTGACCCAACAGAATGCAGAAATTATGGAACAATATCACAAATATTACATGCAAGTAAAATTTTGCTGAAGATAATTCAAAAAAAAATCATTGTAGTGCTATATCAACAGGTAACTGCTAGAAATACAAGCAGGATTCAGAAGAGCATGTGGAACAGGGGATATCATTGCTGAAGAGAGATGGATCTTAACTAGAAAGGAGAGAATACCAGAAAGATGTTTGTTACTGTTGTTTGTATTAAGTGTCATTGAGTCGGTTCCAACTGATTGAAACAGAATGAAATACTGTCAGGTCCTGTGCTATCTTCAAAATTGTTATGATTGAGCCCATTGTTGCTGCCACTCTGTCAGTCCATCTCACTTTTTCACTGACTCCCCACTTTACAAATCATGATGTCCTTCTCCAGGGACTAGTCCCTCCTAAGAATATATCTAAAGTATGAAAGAGAAAGTCTAGCTTCTAGGGAACATTCAGGCTGTACTTCTTTCAAGATAGATTTGTTTGCCCTTCTAGCAGTACATGGAACTTTCAAAACTCAAATGCATCCATTCTTCTATGGTCTTTCTTATTCATTGTTCAACTCTACATGTATATGAGGCGATTGGAAATACCATGGATTGGGAGGGTCAGGTGCACCTTAGTCATAAAACTGATATTTTTGCTCTTGAACACTTTAAAGAGGTCTTGTGCAGCATATTTGCTTAATGCAATATGGCGTTTGACTTCTTGACTGCTGCTTCTGTGAGTATTGATAGTGGATCCAAGCAAAATGAAGTCATTGTTAACTTTTCTCCATTTATCATTATGTTATTGATTGGTCTAATGGTGAGGCTTTTTTTTCTTTTTTTTACATTGAGATGCAATCTATACAGAAGGCTGTAGTCTTTGATCTTCATTATTAAGTATTTTAAGTCCTTTTCACTTTAAATAAGCAAGATTGAATCATCCCCATATCGCAGGCTGATAATAAGTCTTCCTCCAATCCTAATGCCATGTTCTTCATATAATCAAGCTTTTGGGATTATTTGTCCTGCATAGAGATTGTGGCTTAATGTGCTGGACTGCAAGGTCAGTTGGAACTACAAAGTCAGGGGTTTAACCTCACTAGCCACTCCTTGGAAACCCTATACAGGGTCGCTATGAGTCCGAACCGACTCGTTGGCACTTAACAACAATATTTAGTGTATGTGTGTATATATATATTAAATAGACAAAAAAAATAGAGACCTGGTTTCATGCTGCTGGTTAATGCACTAGACTACAAAGTTGGCTTGAACTGCAAGATTGGCAGCTCAAACTCACCAGCTGCTCCTCAGAAACACTACTTTGTTGTTGTTAAGTGCCATAGAGTTGGTACTGACCCATAGCGACCTTATGCACAGCAGAACAAAACATTGCCTGATCTTGGGCCAACCTCACTACTGTTGCCATGCTTGAGTTCATCTATGCTGCCACTTGGCCAACCCTTCTCATTGGGGGTCTTCCTCTTTTTCTCTGACCCTCCACCTTACCAAACATGATATCCTTCTCCAGTGA